TTTGAAGCTTTATGACACCATTCCTAGAAAGGTGTTTGCCATTGAAATGTGTTTGAGTGGATGCAAGGGGCATTTCACAAAACACTGGGGCACTGTTCTTACTCAAAAAGTCTCTTTTTTCTGCTCTGTTAGTCTGTATGACATATGATAAAAAAATTGGTTACCGTGCTTTTCATAAATAATTTTGTAGTTTTGGCAGAATTTATTGATACGTATTTTAAAATATTGATGCTCTAAGCTTTAATGTTTCAAAATGAAAAACTTTTACATCATAATTCTTTTGAAAACTGTATCTAAAAAAATAAAATGCAGTTGGAGCATTTAAAATTTGCTCTTATACAAGCAATGGTGATGCCTTATGAAATCGAATGAGATAAAAAAATTGAAATTTATTAAAAACATTTTCAGATTATATTTTTTGCAGACCATGGATCAGATTTTTCGCAGATCATTTTTAGGTTACGTTTTCCCTGTGGATCAAAAAATGTCGAACTTTCCAGGAAGTGAAACTTCGCTATTTGAACTAAATTCAGCGGTTGAAATTTTGACATGACCTTGTTTAAAATAGTTCCGAAACTTCAACAGCCAAAATAATTAGCGCAATGAAGTTAAACTTCTACGAAAACTTGACAAAATTTGAAACTTAAGGATAAATTATTCCGACTATTTTCGAAGAAAATGACGGGAAGTTTGACATCGGAGTAGTTTTTTTCTCTAGACAAATTTTGGCTCTTTAACTAACCATTTTTGACAAAATATTTTTATATCATCCGAAATTTTTTTTTGTCTGGAGCTCAAAGTGAAAAGATAATTTAACTGTGATTTTTTTTTCGTAAACTTATTGGGGTTAAAGATTGCTGTTTTGGCCAACTTGGGACAATTGACAAGCAGTTTTCTTGCGCTATGAACGCGTAAGCCGAGAATTGATCCGTCTTAGAAATTGTCGCTTCCCTCTCCCCTCAGGGATTCAATCTTTTCATCAAACAAAAGGCCCCCCAGAAATTTGTGTCCCAGACTTTTATGTCCCGGCGAAAACAGTCCAAAATGCAAAAAGTGTCCAAGACATTTGGTTCCCAGACAAAACTGTCCCAAAAATGTCCGGGCTATTGCCACACTAGTTATTGACCGGATTTTTTTGATAAGCTTTCAATAGGAAAGATTAAATCGATAAGGCCACGCAACTGAGCAATTAGGCCAGAAATTACTTTGCGCAGCATATTAGAAACAAAATTAACACAGGACTCAAATCATTTTCACATACCTACACAATTATCGCTTGATTGATAATGTTGCAAAACGTAGACACGAGAGATCATAATTTTATTGTTATTGCTCTCGAGCTCGCGTTGACAATGGAAATTCTTATGACAAATAAAGACAACGAAATGCTAGTTTATGATGCATACGCAGACTTCAAACATCGAACTCTATCAGACTCCTGAATTTCTTAGCGACGTGTTTTATCTTAATGCATTGGCCGTGTGCGCACTTTCCAAGATAACGTCACTATCATAAATGATCACAGTCCTTTTCCCGATCCAGCCGATAATGAAAAACAAAAACTCAGGAAAGCTCTCAAAACAAGAGCAATTGTTGCAGATGAGCCACCAAGTCAAACAATTTTTTCCGTCCAAAGAGACATCAACAGAGAGAATGCTGCAGTAATCCCGAGCTATTCGGCCAACCAGACGACAATTAACAGAGTTAAACAGGAAAAACAGTCCAGAATGCAGGAACCCCAATCCTTAACTGATTTTGAACTGCAAGAGTTGCTAAAAATGACGCGCAGTGGCGAGCGTTTCCTTCATTTTTACTCTGGACCTAATGATACCAAGCTAAAAATGGTTTTCATTACTCTTTTATTGGTTCTGATGATTGGTTCTGCATTGGCACCTTTTATACGGCCCCTAGTGTGTTCTTTCAGAAACACACCATCCACGCATCAGTCGAGGAATGCATTGCTTCCAGACAAGAAAGAAGAAATGTATATTCGCCTTTTGAACTGCTTCGGCATGGATTTTCCCAAAAGATCTATCATTGATTTCAGAATAGTAGTCAAAAATTACCAATATCCAAAAATGTACAACTCAAAAACAAGGTCAAAATGAAGTCTTTATAGTGTTCTTGGAGTGCTCCCAAAATTTGGAGTGATGCTATAGTTTAGCGTTCTCTGTAGCTTTTGTTACATTTTTGCATTCGTCGATTCTAGAAAAAATAACCGAAAACTTAGGCATGGCCGATTGGCATAAATTTTTTTTGAAGTCTTCTGTATGCAAGAGTAAGTTCTACTTGGATCGCAACAAGCTATACTTGTTCATTTATATTTTCTTTTTGTCAAACGGCTCTTAAAATATCAAGCTACAGATTTTTTAAACGAATTTGGTCGTTAGTCATCAATATGCAAAAACAAAAACAGTTGGAAGTAGTTGCGGGTTGTAGAAAAAACTAAAAATTTAGAAATAAAAGAAAACAAGTTTCAACAGAATTAATGACAACTGTGTAGTCAAATCATTGTCAATTGTGCTTAACTGAAAACTGTATCATGAACAACTGTAATTTTTGCATGCTATTCGAAAATAATTATATCTTACTGTTTGCCACCTAATTTTGGCTGAAAGATTTGGTTCATTTTTCGCTTGCAGATTTTTTGCAAAACGAAAAAGGTTCATAGAGTTTTGAATTCAATTGATTAAATCATCTACCTGCTCCACAAAAATATCTCGAAGAAAATTAGGCTTTTGAGTTATTTACTTTAAAAAAGATGATAAGACTTGTTTTGAATTTGCATGCTTTTTTGTGAGAAGGTACATGCTTTGTTACTTTTTGACCTCATTGGAATAATGGGAACAAGGCAAGATAAAAAATACTACATAAAAAGGACTGAAGGCGTCTCTAATTTTTTTTCTTTAAAATATATTAGAATTGTTCTTAATCATTTCTCTTTTCTGACTTACACCTCTTTGATAGGTTCAAATTGTACTCAAGTTTTAATGCGAAGAAAAAAACCTGCATAATGGTCTATCTTGCGGCAAAATGTTTGATATCCAAATACAAAATATTTCAAACTGACCTCAAGCAACTATCGACTTCAGTTTCAAATTGATCAAAACATTTTCGATATATTAAAAGAAGTTTGAAAATAAATGATCTGTTTTGAAATGGGGAAGCTTAACATGAAATACAGTTTGATTATTCTCGCCAATTAGAAACGTTTTTGAAAATTAAATTATCTGATCGAAATCACTCGTGTCGTCCCCTTTTTGTTGTTTGTCTCATTAATAAATAGACCATATTAAGTGAATTGTAATCAGCCATTGATTTTCAAAATATTTCAAACTAACCTCAAGCAACTATCGACTTCAGTTTCAAATTGATCAAAACATTTTCGATATATTAAAAGAAGTTTGAAAATAAATGATCTGTTTTGAAATGGGGAAGCTTAACATGAAATACAGTTTGATTATTCTCGCCAATTAGAAACGTTTTTGAAAATTAAATTATCTGATCGAAATCACTCGTGTTGTCCCCTTTTTGTTGTTTGTCTCATTAATAAATAGACCATATTAAGTGAATTGTAATCAGCCATTGATTTTCATAGTACTAAAATGCAATCGTGCTTGGGTCAGATCCAGGGGTGGTTTTAGGTTGAGGGACGTCTCTAATCCTCGGTAATTTGATTCCTCGGAGATTCAAATCGCATCATTACGAGGCCAAACTGTGCACTCCCGCATCCAAGTTTAGGCGTAAATAATCGATTATAACGGATTATTATGATGATTTTTTGACAATTATAATCGATTATAATTACCAAAATTAGGTCTTTAAGGGATTTATAATTGATTATAATCATGATATTTTCCAAGAGATTTTTATCTCTTATAATCGATTATAATTGATTATAATTGATTATAGTTTTTACTAAAAACCCTTAAAATCAATTATAATCGATTATAATCGATTGTAATCTCTTATTTTGCCGAAATTTTCTTATATTCGAAATATATCTTATGGGTTGTTTTTTTGTGTCAATAAAAAATCTCTAAAAGAGAGATCTCTTGAACACTTTGGTTCATCTGAACACAAAGTTATACCGCGAAACAAAAATTTCATAGAGATCTTTTCATATGAGTGGAAAGGCTCTCGCGGTAGATGAAAAATAAATTTTCTGAATCAATCATGAAACTAAATCAATTTGCTGATGTTTTGGTGTTTAAAAAAAGCTTAAAATATGCATCACAAAACAACTCTAATGGGGAAGAAATGAAAAAAAAAACGTATAAATTTGAATTAATTGGAAAACTTTAAAAACATTTTTCTTATTTTTCATAGGAACCAACGTACACAAAAAGCATAATTTATAAGCAATTTAGATGCAACTTCGAAGACAAAAATGGACAAACAAAAGGGATTATAATCAATTATAATCAATTATAATGGCTTTTTGTGCAAACTAATAAAACAGAAATTTGAATAAAAATAATGGATTATAATCAATTATAATCGATTATAACTGTATCGAAAAATAGACGAATAAATAATCGATTATAATCGATTATAATGGATTAAATTTAATTAAAATTTGAATTTAAAAAGAGAGATTATAATCGATTATTAATTGATTAAAATTGATTGTTTCCCAATTTTAGTGAGACTAGTACTAAAATTGTAATATAATCGATTATTAACGCTTGAAACTGGGTGCGGGCTGGTTAGGCGCACAATTTTGTGTCTGTATGTTCCTGGATTCCAGAGAAATTTTTAAACATGTTCCAAAGTGTAAGTGGATTCCACTTACAAAAGTTCCGTGGATTCCGCGTACAAATACGTGCGCTCCCCCTCAATTGGCGCCAAATGCGTTTTTTGGCGTGCGCTCCCCTCAGTTATAGTGTCTATTGGCGCCAAATACGCCTTCAGAAAAAGGTTATGATCGGTCAGCCAGAAATGGATGTATTTAAATAGTACCAAATGGGGACCCTTTGGGTTGCCAGGAGGCCAAATACCTGAGGGGGCGTCTTGATTTTTCAGTCATAGACCAGTCAGAGCATTCTTACCCTTCTTTCACCAAACTTAGCACGCGGTGCTATTTTGTTTGGCAAAATAGGGTGTTTTTAGTGTTTTTAAAAATGGAAAATCAATTTGGTCGACCTGAAAAGGAAGTCATTTTTTTAGGAGCTCCACTCCTCTCGAGAAAATCCTAGGTCTGATTCTGGTTTGACCGTTAACCACAAGCGAACTAATAAAATTCTAGGCAAACTTAAACAGTGAGCAATGCGAGAGAGACGAACAAGAGGTCGCACAAAGTGAGACTGAAGATGAGGATGCCGGAGGAACGAGTGAGGATCATCTTCCTGAAGTGAACCAGCAGGTAGCCCAACACACTCACGTTCAACACACTGCCCACCTAGCAAAACATTAACTGTCAATTTCACATCTCGCATTTTGGACTTTGACAACCAAATTTTTTCTTTCATGATGTTGAGCCGCGTTTTTATGCTAATCTATTTCAAGCTCGGAATTCTTACATCTCGATTTTCTGTCTAGTATTGGTTTTTGAAAGCTATTAGCCAAACATGCAACAAAATTGGTGAAGTGGAGATCAGAAAAAAAATTACGCTGACAAACTGAATTTTACAACCTATGGCAAAACAAAAAAATTTGATTATGACTAATGAACAAAATAAACTGAAAGAAAAACATGGTTCTTATGTTATCAGAAATGTGCTTATCAGAGAAGTCAGAGAAGTCTAAATTCGGTCGTAGGTTTGACTGTACAACTTTAGTCGATTATGTATTTGACGGCAACTCAAATATTAATTCATTTTTCACGAAACTATCCTTTTCTAAAACATTTTAAAAATTCACTCACCGCGAAACAGGCGAAGTATGCGATCCCAGTAGCGAAAAAGTAGGGATGCGTCCCCCCTCCTTGCTCTCCATCGTCAAAAGAGACATTGAAACCCTGATGATACTGGTCTGAGATATTATTGTTCATCTTATTCAGCCAACTTTTTCCAAGTTCAACCAAGTTTGCAGCAGCAGAAGGAAATTAATTGAAAACAAATCGGAGTGAGAAAAGTGTTAGTTCAACGCTAGACTTCTTCTCATAGAGTAATTATTATTCCAAATGAAAGAAACTACATCGAAACAGCACTTCATAGGAAAAAACTGGAAGCGTCTCTAATTTTTGAGACTTCTTTTAAGAAGTATTTTAAACCAAAGAGAACACATACCAACCCACAAGGATAATTTGTTCCCTTGAATCAGAGGTAAATTGCCACGCTGTGATTGGACGAATATATCATACCAAGCTTTTTTCTATTTTTTAAAAGAAAGCAATAATTACAGTTGTTTGAACGGATTCTCCTTCAAGCGTTTCATAGTCTGCCATAAAACTGAAAAAAGGCTTCCCTCTCGTTGCTATAGTTGAGTTTTTTAGTAATGACATCGGTTTCACATAGAATAACAAAACTATTCTGTGTGACATTTTTTACGCCCTGAAAATCCATTAAATTCGAAATCTTGAGAGTTTAAAAATAGTTTCAAAGACGGAAAATGTAGTAAGAACAAACAAAAACACAAAATGAAATCGAGATGTTTTGTTTTTGGTATCGGAGTAGCATTTAAACTTCAGACTGTTTTCTTTAAATTGTCACAATACGGGTGGGAGTATTATCCGTGAGTGGGAGAATAAAGCTGCGCCGGAAATGTAAATTGCTTCCTGAGAAAAATTTACGGGTAGGTTGATATTTTCAAACACTCCCCGTTACTAGAGTTCCATGGATTATGACCTATTGACATTCGAGTTTTATTCAGTGTGTCCTCAAAATAACTAAAAACCTATTTAATGATAAACAATCTGCTATAGTTTCAATAAAGTAAAAACCAAAAAAACTCTTTTATAATCGATTATAGTCCAGTACAATAGATCACCCGGGTTGACCAAAACTTCTTATCATACAGTTTCCATATATGAAAAACTTTTGACAATACAATTCAAAACGTACAGAAAATTCTTGGAAAAAAAATCTTTTTGTATCCATATATTAAAACTAATTGTATGAAAAGTACTTTTCCATAAACCAAAAAGTTCTCTAAATTGTTTTCTAAACTTAATTTCTGAAAAATTTTAGGTAACCAAACGCAAGTGACACCGACCTTGGTGAACTCAAAGCACCAAATGTTGGACGGTCTGGCATTTACCTGAGTTGTCTTAAGTCTGTCTTTCACAAATGATCTAACGAGAGCAGCAAACTTTTAAATTTTGGCAACGATGATTTTTCATCGATGATTAATTTTAAAATTTGAAATTTTAATTTATCAGACATTGATCCAGGCATACATAATCATGGCAAGCAAAAGAACTAGGAGTTTTCAGAGTTTTTGAAAAATTATTAAACAAAAAAAAATCCAACAATAGTGTATTCTAGGACTGGTTGAAGAAAAACGCTAATCACACAAACTTCATATATGGAAAAACGCCAATCATACATTTTTCATGCAATTTCATTAGCACAGAAAATTGCATGAAAGGTCTATGATTTGTGATTTTTCATTTATGGAAACTATATGAGTAGCAATTTTCCATAAACCAAAAACAATTATTTTTCACAATTTAAATTCTCAAATTTTTTTGGTTGTGTTCGTAACCGAACACAAGTGAAAAAAATCTTGGTCACTCAATCGCACGGTAAAGGAAGGATTGACCGTCTCATCGCATTAAAAAGGCACTTGATACGGCCTGAAATAGCTTAAATCTGTCTTCATAAATAATATAACGAAATTATCAAACTTTTGGCGTAAACTTTCAACGATGAGTATTTTTAAATTTTAATTTTAAAATTATCAGACCTTGATCAAGTCATAGATAAACATACAAAAAAAGTAGGAGTTCTATCCGACTTTAACCAAAATTATTAGACGAAAAAGAAAAAAAACAATGTTAGTGTATCTAGGAGTGCGTTATGCACACGAAAAACATGAAAATAAATGTTTGAAAAGTCGATTTGCCGTTCAAAAAATATGATAAGAGAAATTTTGATTCAACTTTGAAATTTCTTGGAGAAATTTTGTGTCGTCATTTCAATATATGAGAATTGTATGATAAGCGTTTTTTTTTCAAAAAACAAAAGACTCGGTTTTTGTCACCAGACTGTTTTTTTTTAGAATTAAACAGCCACAGAAATTAGTTTATACCTTTTTTGACCATTTTTTGAAACTGCACGAAAAATACATCACAAGCATTTTTACATATACGTGATGTGTACGGAGGTCAATCCGAGCATAATGATTTAATTTCATGTTATGATCTTAACGTGAAAACTTCAAACAAATATCAAAACTTTCAAAATTGAACGTTGCATTTGCAACACAGACATTGTTTTCAATAAAATTAGATAAAATGAAAAAACGAGTAAAATTGCCTTGATTCAGTTTGAGTCTTTGAGGAACAGTTCCAGCACGCATTTTGAAAAAAAACATGTCTGCTTAACAATTTTTTGAGCATCCAGATTGGCTAAGATTCTCAGTGAATTGACCAACAGTTATAAAAACTGATTAAAACTCATTTTCTTCCCGAGTTACCTTATTTAGAGATTTTTAACCATTAGAAAAAAATTCATAACAGCTTTCAGTCATGACTTGAGTTATCATTTCCTGCATTTAAGTATTATATTCGTTATTGAAATTGAGATGAGGCAAGTTTTGCGTTCACTCATCTGAAAGTATTCAAAATCATGCTGAAAACTACAAAGCAAAAAGCACCATTGTTTTTTATGGTGTTCGCTTTCTCTATGTGGTTTCAAGTCGAGTCACCTTGTTTCTAGAAACGGATTGTAATTTTAGGTTACAAACATGTTTCTCTGGCTTTTGGGCCAAAGGCTTTTTTGAGCACATAACTGATTTAAGTGAATAATTGCTGCATGCCCGGGTTGACGAAAAACGCCAATCATACAAGTTTCATATACATAAAAAAATGCTAAATGTACAGTTTTCATGGATTTCCAGAAGTACAGAAAACTGCATGAAAGGTCTGTGATTAGTGGTTTTTCATATATGGTAACTGTATGACTAGCCATTTCCCATAAACCAAAAAAAGGGATTTAAAAAAGTTTCCTCAAAAATTTTGGGATGTGTTCATGACCGAACACAAAACAAAACAAAAACCATGGTTTACTCAAATCTAGAGTCACCAAAGGTTTGACCGTCTAGCATTTACAATGCCTTGGAAACGACCTGATTTGTATAACAGTATAACAGTATTGCCATTAATTTTAAAAATTGAAATTTTAATTTATCAGACATTGATCCAGGCATACATAATCATGCCAAGCAAAAAAACTAGAACGCATTTTGAAAAAACATGTCTGCTTAACAATTTTTGAGCATCCAGATTTGCTGAGATTCTCAGTGAATTGACCAACACTTATAAAAACTGATTAAAACTCACTTTCTTCCCGAGTTACCTTATTTAGAGATTTTTCACCATTAGAAAAAAATTCATAACAGCTTTCAGTCATGACTTGAGTTATCATTTCCTGCATTTAAGTACTATATTCGTACTTAAATGCACTTGATTGACAAAAATCTGAAAACTCATCATGAGTTTTCAGAGTTTTTAAAAAATTTTAAACAAAAACAAAAAAATTCTAACAATAGTGTATCCATTTACAATGCCTTGAATTTGACAGTCTTGCATTTACAATGCCTTGGAAACGACCTGATTTGTATAACAGTATTGCTTACACAAACAATATACCAAAAACATCTATCTTATAAATGTTGGCAAGATTTTCAAAGATGATTATGATTAAAATTTGAATTTTTAAATTATCAGACATTGATCAAGGCAAAGATAAACATGTCATACAAAGGAAATAGGAGTCTTATCCCTTTTAAAAAAAATTATAATGCGAAAAAGAAAAAAATACAATATTAGTGTATCCAGTTCTACGTTATGTTCACGAAAAAAAACTGAAAATGTTTGTTTGACTACAAAATTCGATTTGACGTTCAAACAAAATCAAAAGAAAA